GTGATTATTAAATAAATAAATCTTTTTTTAAAGAAAAGGTGCCTTGAGTTTAAGGCAAGGTTGGAGTACAAGGGACGACCCTGTCTCCAAATGAAAAAAAAAACAGAGAGACAATATTTTATACCAGAATTCACATATTCATCCCCAAAAGAAGCCCTGTGCCTATTAACATCCCCTATTGCTACTTGTTTACAAGGTTCTATTGCAATCCTTTTTAGCTTTGTAAGTTGCATGAAGCATATCTCTATAAAACCCAGGTTGTTTTGTTTGTTTGCTTGTTTTATTTTTTTTATTTACCAGGACCTCATGCATGCTAGGCAAGAGCTCTACCATTGAGCTACATTCCCAGTCTTTTTTTTTTTTCCTTAAAGAAAAAAACATGAACGAGTTGTGGTAGTTCACCCCTTTAATCCCATCAACCCAGAGGTAGGGGCAGGGGCTCCATCTCAAAAAAGTAACAAGGGGGAAGGAAAGACTGTTAATTTTTTTTTAAAGCTTTAACAATTTTATTAGAATTTAAAGAAAAAGTCCTCAGGACAGGCGAGCTGGTAATGTTGGCAGCTGCCTTGAAGAGGTGAATGGTGGGAAGAAAGAAAGCCACGAGGCCATGCAGGTTTAGAGCCTGTGGAAGGTCAGACAGCCTGTGGCCGACTGTCAGCTACATGGCTGGGAGAAGGAAGCTTTAGAGAAAGTAAAGAAATAGAAGATGCTAGGGGCAGCCCAAAGCCTTAAAGAAAGCATGTTTAGAAAGGAAAGCCATAAAGAAAAGGAGGAATTATGCTTCCCTGAAGAACTCAGGGACGCAAACAAACTCAGACTGCGTGGCTGTAGCTAGTCCGGAAGTTCTGCCTGTTAAATTTTTTTGATTTATTTTTATTTAATGTGTATGAGTGTTTTGCCTGCATGCATGTATGTTCACATGAGTATAATGCTCGTGGATACCAGAAGAGTATATTGGAACTGGAATTAACAGGCAATTGTGAGCTGCCCTGTAACTAAACCCTGGTCCTCTGCAATAGTGGCAAATGCTCTTAATTGCTGAGCCAACTTCTGTAGCTCCAGAATAAAGTGTTTAAAATAAGGAAACTGTGCTTTAGCGCCAGCCGGCCTGTTTCCCCTGTAAACTTCCTCACACCGCTGCCCCCTTTCTGGGAATGTAGTTCCTTTCTTGCTATATATTTTAAAGACTTATTTTTATATGTGTGTGTATGTGTGTTACATGTGTATGAGTGCCCACAGATGTCTGAAGAAGGTGTCAGATCCCCTCGAGTTGGAGTTACAGGCAGTTGTGAGCTGCTTGATATGAATGCTGGGAACTGAACTTGGATCCTCTGGAAGAGCAGCAAGTGCTCTTAAATGCCTAGCCATCTCTCCAGTTCTCCTGCTATATATTTTAAAAACTGAATTTGGGGGCTTGAGAGAGAGTTTATAAATTTTTGTTTTCTGACTTTGAAGCTCTGGTTGATCTCAATCTCCAGGGCTCAAGTGATCCCCGTTTGGTCTCCTAAGAATCTGGGATTATAGACGTATATCACTGTGTATGATTCCAAAAACCTAGATTTTTTAAAAATATATGTGTTATGTGTATGTTCGTGTGTGTGTGTGTGTGTGTGTGTGTGTATTGAGGCCAGAGGACATCCTTGGGTGTCATCTTCAGGAATGTTGTCCATTTCCTTTGAGATAGGTCTCTTATTGACTTGGAAATTGTTAATTTGGCTAGAATGGCTTAGTGAGCTCCAGGGATTCTCATGCCTCTGCCTCTCCAAAGCTAGGATTATGGGCACATGTACCACATCCAGTATTTTTGTTGTTGTTGTTGTTGTTGATTGATTTTTAATATTATTATTTGTCTTTTTGAGACAGGGTCTCCCTGTAGCCCCAGCTGGCCTGGAACTCACTATGTAGATCAGGCTGACCTCACAAAGATTCACCTACCTCTGCCTCCCAAGTGCTGGGATTAAAGGTGTGTGCCACCATGTCTGCATGTAGTTAGGTACACTAGTGTTGGGCAATGCCTGCAGAGGTCAGAAAACGCATTCGGTCCCCTGGAACTATAGTTAGGGATGGTTGTTAGCCACCATGTGGATGTTGGGAATTGAACCTGGGTCCTCTGCAAGAGCAGCCAGTGCTCTTAACTGCTGAGCCATCTCTCCAGCCCCTGATTTTTTAACTTTTATGTGTATGAGTGTTTTGCCTGCCTATATGTTAAGTGCACCACATGTGTGCCTAGTATGCAAGGAGGCCAGAAGAAGGCATTGGATCCCCTGGAACTGGAGTAAAGGATGGTCGTTACCCATCATGTGGGTGTTGGGAACCAAACCCAGGTCCTCTGCAAGATCAGCCAGTGCTGCTCTTAACATTGAGCCATCTCTCCAGCCCCTTAAATTTCTTTTATTTATTTATTTTTTTAAAGAATGGATGGTGAGGAGGAGGGGGAAGTTGTTCAGATATAGAGAAAGTTAGTGGACAATACTGTATCTTGGCTTATGTTGTTTGAATGTGAAATGTCCCCTAAAGGGAGACTCATGTGTTCGAACATTTGTCTCTGAACTGGCAGTACTATTTGAGAAGGTTATGGAACCTTTAAAAGGTGGAGTCTGGTTGAAGGAAGTTGGTCACTGGGTACTGGGCTTGAGGCCTTATACCCTTGCCCCACTTCCTGTTCAAGTTCTCTGCTTCCTGACTGCAGATGAAGTATGACCAGTGGCCCACCTGTACCTGGCATCACGACTTACCTGCCAGGGTATGGACCCTCAAACTGTAAGCCAAAATTGTCCTTTTCTCCCTTATGTTGCTTTCCTCAGGGTATTTTATCATAGCAACAAGAAAAGTAAGGAAGACCGCTTGTGCTGCTTAAAATGAAAGCAAAGCTTTAGGCTGCCAACTCCTTCTGTAAAGAAAAGGGGAAGGATGCTAGAGTTGGGCAATTGTGTCTTTTGATAAGAACATGACCTCTGTCTCATAATCACTAAGGAGGCTCTAAGGGGAGGGAATCACATCAAGAGATAATGAAAAAAGTAGTTGAAGAGTTGAGTAACCTGTGGACTGATGGAGTTTCCAGAGGCGCCATTGCCAGGGTGGGTTTTATACATTAGTTAAAAGGAGCTCTTTTCATTCTGTTAGGTGTTGTCAAAAGTGGTAACTGTTACACAGTGGAAACTCCTGCTTGGTATTCTCAGATGTACCCCCAAATGAGAGGACCTGCTTGTATTAGCCTCACCCCTTGTTGAGGAGTAGCTGACATTTGATGGTTGCTAGGGGAGTAAGAGTCAGTTTTCTTTAGGGGTGTGGTCCCTGGTAAGCTGACCCTGCTCCAGTGGATGGCCCCACATCCATGAATATATGAGCAGCACTAACTGGACTTAGTGGGTAATTAGAAAAAAGGAGGAAGTGAAGTTGGGAAGTTGTATGGGGGTGCAGGAGCTGGGAGAAGTTGGAGAGGAGGCGTGGCGAGTGAATATGAGCAAAATACTTTGTATTCATGTATGAAATTCTCAAAGAATAAATACAATTATATTAAAAAAGAACAGAAAAGGCATGCTTGGTCTTAAAGATCTTCAATCTGAACAGGTTACAGAAAGACATAAAATTCTGATCTGAAACTCCATCTGAGGAAGGAGCAGGACCCTGCAGTGTTGAAGGTAAAAAGTACCCCAGATAAGCATTATTCACAGCCAGTGGTGACATATAAGAATCTTTTATGCATATGATTGACTCAGTAATTCTTTCAGGAATTTGTTCTGAGGAAATATTAAAACTGGGAAAAGAGATTTTGTTTTAAGCATATTGAACTCATACTTTTTTATGAAGAGAAAAATGGCACTGGCCTAAATGCTCAACATAAGGAGAATAATTAAGTATTACCAAATTAAAAAAAAAAAGAGGACCAAAAAGAAGACTGAGCAGGTAAATGTGCCTGACTAACCTGATGACCTGAGTTCAGTCCCTAGCTCTCATTATGCAGGGAGATGGGAGCGAGAGCACTGATTTCTAAGGAATGTCCCCTAACCTCCACAGCAATGCCATGACATATATGTACCCACATTCACACCAAACACACACACACACACACACACACACACACACACACACACACACACAAAGTGTTACTGGGGATATTGGAGTCCCCTTTTTGGGTTCTTAGTTTCATTCATAAAAAAGTTTAAAAACAAGCTGGGCATGGTTGCGCATGCCTTTAATCCCAGCACTTGGGAGGCAGAGACAGGCGGATCTCTGTGAGTTCAAGGCCAGCCTGGTCTCCATAGTTCCAGGACAGCTGGGGCTACACAGAGACCCTGTCTCAAAAAGACCAACCAAAAAAAAAAATTAAAAACAGACTCAGAAGGAAGCCGGAGGACCATTTTGTTAGAGTTTGAGAGAAAAGCAGTGGGGCAGGCAAGCTGTAAATCTTGGCAGCTGCCAGGATGAGAGATGAAGAAAATTAAAGTGAAGCCTTTTGAGATAGGATCCAAGAACGCAGGCAGGCTCAGCTGTGGAAGTCAGCCACCACCTGCATGGAGTAAAGGTGCAGATTTTCATAGAAATAGAAAGTCCAGAGAGTCAGGGAAGCTTGGTGTTTGGCCAGTTTCCAAAAAAAGAGAAAAGGAAAAGCAAAGGTTACATCTTGGAGGCCCGTCTCAGGAAAGCGGGCAGGTTCAGCAGTGCTGCTGGTGGAAGCTGTGGAAGCAACCACGTTGGGGAGGGCCTCTGGGAAGTCTGTTATCTCCCTGAGGAGGTCATTATTCCTCCCATCTCCTTGGCATGACCTTAGGTGAATCAGATTTCCTGTGGTCTCTGAGCCAGTTGACTGACAGGCCTAGCTGGATTAATTTTTAAAAGGAGCAGATAGTAGTATGTAATGTTTTAATCTTTGGAACAGATCAGAATGTCATCTCCACCCAGGGCCAGAGGTAGGATTCACATTCCATCCTTTTGACCTCAAGGAAGTTCCCTTTTCTAGTGTTACAAGGTTAACATCAGGTGGGGCCAAAAGACAACCATGAAGAAGAGGTCCATCCTCAGTTGCCTGCAAGGCTGCTAATCCTTTCCTAGATACCCAACTTTCCCTCCTTAAAAGTTGGAGATGGCTCAGTGGTTAAGAGCACTGACTGCCCTTGCAGAGGACCTGGGTTCGATTCCCAGCACCCACATGGTGGCTGTGAACTGTCCTTAACTCCAGTTCCAGAGGGATCCGAAGCCCTCTTCTGACCTCTGCAGCATTGCACGACACTGGTACACTCAAACATGCAGGCAATACACTTGTACACATAAAATAAAAAAAATATTAAAAAAAAGTTGAGATCTCAAAGTCATTTAGGGAGTGGTATACTGAGTTAGTCTTGCCACTTCTGGCTTCTGGTCAAGGAACTGCTCATTTCAAGATCCCTGCCGTAAAACTACCTGTCCAGTTTGTATCTTCTCATTTGAAGTACATGGTAAGACCAGACATAGTGCTGTACACCTGTAGCCCCAGAACTTCAGAGGCAGAAATAGAAAGATAGCCACAGGTATGAGGCCAGCCTGGTTTACATAATAAGTTCCAGGCCAGTCTTGGTACACAGAGACCTGTCTCAAAAAACACAATAGAAAAGCCAGGTGCAGTGGTGAACACCTTTAATCCCAGCATTTGGGAGGCAGAGGCAGGCAGATCTCCGTGAGTTTGAGGCCAGCCTGGTCTACATAGTGAGTTCCAGGAAAGCTGGGCCTGCAGGGAGACCCTGTGTCAAAAAGGCCAAACAAACAAACAAACAAACAAATAAACACCACAATAGGAAATAAAAGCAGAAATACATTACAGGCTGGGAGAATAGCTTAGTGGTAGGGTGCTTTATGAGAATCAAGAAAAGGATGGGTTTGGTTACTATGGATATAGTGAGGGTGGTTCTCTATTTTGACTGACAAGTTTGGGTTAGGCAAATCATTGGGTTTGTCCCTTCCTATGGATTTTGATTTTAATCATATGCAGGCCCAACTATGAATAGGCATAAGATGGTAAATAGGGGATTCCCGCTAATAATTACTTGAGGACACAATTTTACCTTTATGTGCACGCATTCAAAGCCAGCTCAGGCCAGATCAGCCATTCCACTTTTATTACCTGAATACACTGGGAATACACTTGAATAGAGACTGTCTAAATTTGATTGTTGCCAGGGGCAGGTAAATCTATAGTATTGTCAGAGATGAGAGTATTTGCAGGTTCTGAGGTTGCTAGATGAATTGTCTGGAGAGGGGTGTGTGCATGTAGTATGTACATGTGAAGGAGTTAGGGTGCCAAGTGCATTATTATAAGAAGGTGTGCATAACCCATACCAAATAGGATCCCAAGCTAACTTGTCTCGTATGCTTGCCTGCCTTACTCTCAAGTTGTAGGCTGCCTTGGTCTACACAGAAAGACTTTATGTCAGAAAAAACTTAATAAGCAAAAAGATATTTGGAAGCCTTTATGACTGGAGTCGGGTCCCTCTGTCTTTTTAAAAAAATATTTATTTATTTTTATTTTGTGTGTATGCATGTATTGCCTGCATGTAGGTAAGTACACCCGTGTTGTGCAGTGCCAGGACAGAAAGGCTGTTGATTCTCTAGAACTGGAGTTATGGACAGTTGTTAGCTGCCATGTGGGTGATGGGATTTGAACCCGGGTCTTTTGCAAGAACAGCCAGTGTTCTTAACTGCTGACCCATCTCACCAGCCCAGGTCCCTCTGTCTTGATTGTCATCTGGTCCATTGCTTGACACATAAGTAGGTGCTTAGTAATTATTTGTTGACTAAATGGATGAGTACGGATGCTTTACAATTTCCTTGTTGATTTTTTTTTTTTTTTTTTGAGTCAGGGTTTTACTATGTAACTCTGGCTGACCTGGAACTTGCTATGTAGACCAGGCTAGCGTGAAACTCAGAAGTTTCCCCAGCCTCTGCTTCCTGAGTGCTGGGATTAAAGGTGTGTACCACAAATCTCCAAGGTTTATAAAACCCTAAGCAACTTTAGGTGTTTTGAAAACACAGGCATTTCTTAAATTTCTGCTTTCTTGTCCTAGTTAGCTTTCTATTGCTGTGATAAAGCACTCTGACCAAAAACAACTTGAGAAAGAAAGGGTTTATTGCATCTTACACTTCTAAGTGAGAGTCCATCTTTGAGAGAAGTCAGGCAGGAACTCAGGGAAGGAACCTGGAGTCAGGAACTGAGGCCTAGGCCTGGGAGGCATGCTACTTCCTGGCTTGCTCCTCTGGTCTGTGCGCTGCCTGTTTTCTTATACATAGGACAGGACCACTTGCCCAGGGGTGGCACCATCCACAGTGGGCTGGTCCTGCTAACATCACTCGATAATAATAATAATAAAAAATGTTCCATAGACAAGTCCACAGACTGATTCAATAGAAGAAATTTCCCAATTGAGGGTCCCTTTTCTCAGGTATGTCAAGTTGACAACGAGCCAACCACACCACTTCATTAGAAACTGAAGACATCTTTTTTAAAAGTTTTATTTAAAAGTTTTAGGTTATATTTATTTGCGTATGTACTTGTGTGGGTGTATATGTAAAGGTGAGAGGACAACTTGTGGGAGTTGGTTTTCTTTTTCTACCGTGTGGGGCTGGGGTTCGAACTCAGGTCTTCAGCCTTGGCTGTAAGCGCTTTTTATCTCCTGATGCATCTCCTGGACACAAGGGCATCCTCTTTATAAAGAAAACATGACTGTCACCAATAACCCGCTTTTCTTTCCCTTCTAGAAAATGTCTACCAAGGGGGAGGCCGCTGAGGAGAGGATTTCCGAGTTTGGTGATGATTTAGCCTCTGAAATCTCTGTTCGTCTTGGCATTGACACATTCCAATTAATAAAGAAATATGAAGAAGAAGACCATAAAGACCGAATGAGAATGCAGAAAGGCTTTAACGCACAGATGCGCAGCGAAGCAAAGCGATTAAAGACTTTTGTCACCTATGACACGTTCAGATCGTGGACGCCGCAGGAGATGGCGGCTGCTGGGTTTTACTTCACCGGGGTGAAATCTGGGGTTCAGTGTTTCTGCTGTAGCTTAATCCTCTTTTGTACCAGCCTCAGGAGACTTCCCATAGAAAGCCACAAGAAATTTCATCCAGAGTGCGAGTTCCTTTTGGGCAAAGACGTCGGTAACATTGGCAAGTATGACGTGAGGGTCAGGAGTCCAGAGAAGATGCTGAGAGGAGGCAAAGCCAGGTTCCTAGAAGAGGAGGCCAGACTGGAGTCCTTCCAGAACTGGCCATTTTATGCCCACGGGACATCCCCACGTGCACTGTCAGCGGCTGGCTTTGTCTTTACAGGTAAGGAAACCATTGTCTGAAGTGTTTCTGTGGAGTTCAAAGTTTAGGTTACATTTTTGCAATATTTTATGAATCCCCATTTAATGTGTTAATCACAGTTAATGTGTTAGATGTAAGGTCTATTTCATTACAATTTAACTTGAGCAATTTCATTTCTCTTTAATTTTTTTTTTCTTTTGAGACAGGGTCTCCCTGTAGCCCCAGCTGGCTTAGAACTTACTATGTAGATCAGGCTGGCCTTGAACTCACTATGTTGACCAGGCTGGCCTTAACCTCAGAGAGCCACTTGTCTCTGCCTCCCAAGTGCTGGGATTAAAGGCATGTGTCACCATGCCTGTCTTAAAATTCATTTTAATCTCAACTTTAACTCCAATGCATGAGGGAAATTGCACTTCAGAGCACTGGACTTTGTTGGAATCCTTTAACCATGTAGATGTTATTACAGATGTGAATGAGAACCACAAAAGCACCTGAGTGCCTGCTTAGTCTGCGCATGGGCTGAGCACTAATTCTAATCCAACCAATTTGCCCTTTTCCCTACATTTCACAGCTGAGATCATTGAGGCCCAAAAGATTAGAGAAATGTGCCTCCATTTCCACAGAAACAGCAAAGCTAAATCTTAGCTCTAACCCTATTACTCCATCTAGTCCTGGTGTCTGTCTGCTTCTCCATGACTTTGGTCCTGAAAGCTCAAATAGTATCATGGAGCTTTGAGAAGCACCTGGGGTGGGTGCATTGAGGGCTGTGCATATGAAGAGTGGCCATGATGGGGATGGAGGTCCAGCTCAGAACTGGTCATTTAGATTCAGCCAGAGAGGGCATGGGCGAACAGGCACACTGGAGTCTGTCTTGTTCTGGAACAATCCATCACTTGCAAGGACACACCTGATGCTGCTGGCCAGTCAGAATGTTTTTCTTCATTTGTAGGTAAAAGAGACACTGTGCAGTGTTTCTCCTGTGGTGGATGCCTAGGAAATTGGGAAGAAGGAGATGATCCTTGGAAGGAGCATGCCAAGTGGTTCCCCAAGTAAGTTGTAAACTTAAAATGAGTAAGCTTAAAATTGCTCAGTTGGTCGAGTGCTTGCCTACCGGGCGTGAAACCCTGGGTTCAATACCCAGCATTGCATAATCTCCTGCAGTCCCAGCACTGGGGTGGTAGAGGCAGGAATTTCAAGGTCATCCTTAGCTATAGTGAGTTTGAGGGTGGCATGGACCACAAGCACATACATATGCACATACATGCACACATAGACACGCACAAAATATCAAAGCTAACAAATATTAGTTTTTTAAAAAAGTAAAATGAAACTAAAGATTAAAAAGCCATGTTAGAGTAGTTTCTTTTTTTTAAAAAAGAATATTGTCTTGAATTTACTCTTTCCCCATCCAAAATAGGATTACCCCAGAATTATTCAAGCAAGAAAGATCTGGTCATATTGTGAAAAGTTTCAATTACATAAATTTAAACAATTTTTAGATGTTGTGTTATTATTTCAAATATTAAAATACATCTTATGAAGCAAAAATTTCATGATTTACCTTAATAAGTAAATTAATCTGTACAGAGATGCTATGAAATGGTGTATGAAGTTAGTTGGGAAGTAAATAACAATGTTTAAAGCATTATAAGTGGTTTCACATACTGTGGAATATGCACCAAATGAGAATGTTTGCTGGATATGGTGACACACGCTTGTCATCCTAACACTTGGGCAATAGCACAACAGGATGAAGAGCTCAAGGTCATCTTCAGCTTCATAGTTTGGACTAGCCTGGGTTACATGAGACTCTAAAAAGAAAGAAAATATTTTATTTTAGAAACTCATTTTTTTTGTCTTTTTGACACAGGGTCTTCTTGTAGCCCCAGCTGGTCTGGAACTCACTGTGTAGGCCAGGCTGGCCTTGAACTCACAGAGATCTGCCTGCCTCTGCCTCCCAAGTGCTGGGACTAAAGGAGTGCACCATCACGCCTGGCCTAGAAACTCAGTTTTTATTACTGTAGTGGTACAGTAATAAAATACTTAGAAAAAGAAGTATAGTTTGGGGCAGGGGAGATGGACCAGTAAGTAAAGTGCTTGCTGCATAAGTATGAGACCTGAGTTCAATACCCAGTATCCACATAAAAAGCCAGGAGTAGTGGTACATGCCTGTAATCCTAGTGAAGGAGCCCTGGGACTCCCTGACAGCCAGTCTAGCCAAATCAGCAAGCTCTAGGTCCCAGTAGGAGACCCTGTCTCAAAAAAGGTAGAAAGTGATTGAAGAAGACATCTGACATTGACTTCTGGCTTTCACTCCTATGCCCATACATGTGCACACACGTACAAGCATGTATATGTATACTACACCCATAAGAAAAGAAAAGGGGCCACTGGGCATGGTGCATGCCTTTAATCCTAGCACTTGGGAGGTGGAAACAGGTGGATATTTGTGAGTTTGAGGGCAGCCTACTTTGCACAGCGAGTTCCAGGCTAGCCAACTATTTAGTAACACAATGTTCAACAAACAAACAAACCAAAATACACACAGAAAAGGAAATGTATTTCAATTATTTTTAATGACTTGTTTAATAGGGTGCTGTCTTTGTGTGTGTGTGTGTGTGTGTGTGTGTGTGTGTCTAAACAGGTTGTTTCCAAGTGCTGGGATTAAAGGCTTGCTCCACCACACCAGTCTGTGTTGTTTTGTTTCTTTGTTTTTACCAAATACAGATTAATTTCTTTAGCTAGTTTTCAAACTTCCATTATGGAAAATCTCATAACAGAAGAAATAATATAATAAGCACTTGTCAACACCTGGCCAGATCATATTTTGTCTCTCTCCTGCCCACTGTTTCCTGTGGAATAATAATAACTAGGTTATTTCAAACCTAACTAGGTTATTCTAGCTGTCACATAATGCTATTTATTACTATTTTAGTATACAAATCTAAACTGAGTCTTTTTTTGAAATATTTTATTTATTATTTTTATTTTATGTTTATGAGTGTATTGTTACATGTATGGAAGTGCACCCATGTTGTGCAATGACTGTGGAGGTCAGAAGCGGGTATCAGATCCCCTAGAACTGGAGATATGGACAGTTGTTAGCTGCCATGTGGGTGCTGGGATTTGAACCTGGGTCTTCTGCAAGAACATTCAGTGTTCTTAACTGCTGAGCCATTTCTCTAGCCCCTAAACTGGGTCTTTTAAATTTAAATTAATATATCAGTATTGCTTGTGTGTGTGTGTGTGTGTGTGTGTGTGTGTGCAAACCATGGTACATGTGTGAAGGCCAGAGGACACCCTTATGTAGAGATTGAACTAAGGTTGCCAGGCTTGTGTGGCAAACACCTTTACCCACTGAGCCGTCTTGATACCCCAATGAGATCTTTAAAAAAAAAAAGCAGTGTTGATGAGATGGCTCAGTGAGTAAAGGAGATGCAGCAAAGCCTGGCAACCTGAGTTGGACCCCCAGTACCCAAACAGTAGGAGAGAACTGACTCCTGAAAATTGTTCTCTGACCTGCACATGCATGGCATGTATACACCTACACATATAATAAATAAACACCATCAGAAATTAAAAAAAATAACCATGATATCATTATATCTTCTAAAAAAGATGAACATTGACCAAATATCATCAAATGCACAAATCAACATCCAAATGTCCACATCTTCCTTGTCTTAAGATTTTTAGTTTACAGATTTCATATTTTCACATCTTTTTCTTATTGGTTATTTATTAAACATGCAATCTGTCCTGTAAATTTTCCTGCATTCTAGACTTGGCTGGATGTGTTTTTGCAGGGTCCTTCTGTATTTTGAGTAACCAAATCCCTGGATTAGCAGGGTTTTTTGCTTTTTGTTTATTTTTTTATTTAAAATTTTATTTTATGTGCCTGAATGTTTTGCCTACATGTATGTAAGTGCACCATATGCATGCAATGCTCATAGAGGCCTGGAACTGGAGTTATGGATGATTGTTAGCCACCACATGGGTGCTGGGAACCGAAGAGAGGTCTTCTGCAAGAGCAGCCAGTGCTCTTAATTGTTGAGCCATCTTTTAAAAATGTTAAAAGCTAGGGGTGGTGGCACATGCCTTTAATCCCAGCACTTGGCCTGCAGAGGCAAGTTCAAGGCCAGCCCGGTCTCCATTAGTGAATCTAGGCCAGCTGCAGCTACAGGGAGACCTTGTCTCAAAAACACCCCCCGCCCCCCCAAAAAAAAAGAAAAAAGGAAAAGTTAAAGAACAAACCAGGGGTGGTGGTGCACACCTTGAATCCCAGCACTCAGGAGACAAAGGCAGGCAGCTCTCTGTGAGATTGAGGCCAGCCTGGTTTTTGTAGGAAGTTTCAGGCCAGCTGGAGTACAGGGAGACCCTGTCTTAAAAAAAAGTTTAGGTACACTTTATATAGAAACCTGTTTGAAAATGTAAAACAAAGTTATGAAGGCATAAATAATGGGGCTGGAGAGATGGCTCAGCAGTTAAGAGCATTGACTATTCTTGCAGAGGACACTGGTTTGGTTCCCAGCACCCATATGGTGGCTAACTGGTCTGTAACTCCAGTTCCAGGGGCTCTGATACCCTCTCCTGGCCTCTGCAAGCATTGCATACCCATGGTACACTTATGAACATGCAGACAAAACACTTACACACATGAAAGAAAAAAGATATAAAGAAAATAATAAATGCCTCTGGGCATGCATAGATTTACCCAACAGTGAGGTGGTGAGAAAGTTTCACATTTTACTTTCTTTACTTAAATTTTGAAACATATATTTATTACTCTTGTAGTTGAAATTGAAGAGAAAGTGAAAAGGTTGGGAGGGAAGAAGCTATGAAGAGGAAAGAAGAAAGAGATGAAGGAAAAGTAGGCAAAGAGAGGAACTTTCCCTGAAAGCAATGAGATGGTACCATGGAAGATGGGGCCGGAATTACCAAACCATGGAATGTCACTGTGGCTCCTTGGGTGTTGGTATATACTCTGCAGATGCACCCGCTGTGCTTCAGCCCTGGCCAGAGCACACACTGCTTCTCTTGGACTCTTAAACCAGCTCTGACCTGCTCAGGCTCTGCTCATTCTTAGGATCATGTGTTTAGTGTCCCTGGTTATATTCTGAACAACTATCAGCCACACCATTCACAAGGCAGCATATGACCAACCTCAACTAGAGCCACACATCTGCCTCCATCTGCTCAGGCTCTGCTCATTCTTAGGATCATGTGTTTAGCGTCCCTGGTTATATTCTGAACAACTATCAGCCACACCAATCACAAGGCAGCATATGACCAACCTCAACTAGAGCCACACATCTGCCTCCAGTGGCCCTACTGCCTCTTTTCTGACTCAGGGCAGAGGGGGAAGTGAGCCACATAGGAACTAGCAACTGGCCCCAGAATGTGAAGAAGTGAGACCTGTTAATATGAGAAGGGGCAGGTGGAGATAGACTGAACCAAGCTTGAATCTGGGCTGCCTGACTTCCTGACCTGGAATGAGGCACTGACCCTCTCAGGACTGCACATGTAAAATGCAGATAAGAAGATATAGCTCCCAGGTGACTGTGAGAGTTAAAGTGATGCAGCTGTCTTGCAGAAAGTACCATGTGTTACAGAGCTGGCTGCTGCTCCTTCCATCTGCTTGTCAGCATGAGCACAGCTGCCATCAGAGCTAAGGGTCCCCACATTTCTTGTTTGCTCTATTCTTAGCTTCTTAGTCTTCAATTTTATACCTTTGCTTCATTGTTTCTTTTATAAACTATTGGTAAAAAATTGAATATACTCTTATGCTTGTAAAATTTGAATAATAGGCTGGGTGTGGTGGTGCATGCCTTCAGTTCCACCACTTGAGAAGTAGAGGAAGGCAGATGGCAGTGTGATCCAGGCCAGCCTGGTCTACATAGTTCCAGGCTGGCTGGGGCTACAGGGAGACTCTGTCTCAAAAAGACCGAAAAAAAATATCTGCATTTGTCTTTCAAGAGCTGGAATGTAATAGTTGTTAAAATACCATTTAAAAAATAATGTGGAGTTGGGCATGGTGGCACATACCTCCAATCCCAGCATGTGGATTTAGAGACAGAGGAATTGACTGTCATCCTTGGCTACATAGTGAGTTCTAGGCTATTTTAGGCTACATGACACCCTGTCAACAATAAATAAAGAAGTGTTTTAAAAGTAAGGTGATTTTCAAAGGGCTCAGGGACCCCTTCCCGGAAAATGGAGCAGAAAAATTTTAAGAGCCAAGGAGGAGGTTCATGATCATATGAAAATAGAGTCCTACAGGCTCCTGAGACCCTTCTAATACAAACCTACCACCATGGTGTCAGCATGCACAAGACCCATGCAAATTTAAGTAGACAAAAATCCCAGTACAGAACTGCGGAAATGGACAGTAGGCTCCAATCATAGTCGAGGAATTATTGGCAGTTGAATACTGCTGGGTGAAGAAGAGCTGATCTTCTTAAAAGGAGGAACTCTAGATAGGCTGACTAGACTTCAGTGGATGAACTTTCACTGAGGGACATCTGGGAACACTAACTTGACATGATAGGTTGTGACACAAATGACAGATTGTATGAATTCCAGTGTGTGTGTAGGAGGTTATGGGAGGGTGCAAATGGGAAGGGGGTATAAAGATGATGATTAAGATGTTCTGTATGAAATACACAAAAATGTAATAAAAAATTGAAAAAAATACAGAAAAAAGTAAGGTGATTTTAGTATAACATTTAAAGAAGATTTGGTAACCTCAAGACATATTGTTTTACCTTATATATTCAGATATAGGGCACTTCATGGAGAGATTTATGTACCTGAGCCAGGGACCCTGGATGCCCCAGACATAGAATGTCAGCCATGGAGAATGTGTGGGTTATCTGATGCAGCCCATGTTCTCATGTGATTACAAGAGAACAGGTCCAGATGAGGCTTATCCCCATTGGAAAGAGCTCTTAGCCCACTCCTTACCACACCATTGGACAGAAACGTAAACATCAGAGGAATTTTGAATTTTATTTTAAAACATTTTTCTTTTTATGGATAAAGAATGTGTTCTTAAGATGGTATTCAATATAATTTTTTTTTTTGTCTTTTTGAGGCAGGGTCTCCCTTTAGCCCCAGCTGGCCTGGTCCTTGCTATGTAGACCAGGCTGGCCTCGAACTAACAGAGATTCACCTGTCTCTGCCTCCCAAGTGCTGGGATTAAAGGCATGTGCCGCCATGCCTGGCCAATATGAGTATGATTTTTTAAAAACATTATTTTTATGTGTATGAATGTTATGCCTGTGTGTATGTAAGTGCACCTGTGTCATGCAGTGCCTGTGGAGGCCAGAAGAGGGCATTGAATCTCCTGGAACTGGAGTTGCAGATGGTTACTGGCTGCCACATGGGTGCTGGGATTCATGAACCTGGGTCTTCGTTGAATCTCCTGGAACTGGAGTTGCTGATGGTTACTGGCTGCCACATGGGTGCTGGGATTCATGAACCTGGGTCTTCTGCAAGAGCAGCCAGTGCTCTTAACTGCTGAGCCATCTCTCTAGCCTCTCGATATGATTTTTAAATATTAAAATTAATAAGTTACTATCTGTTACTTAAACAAAAATCATTATTTTTGGATGGGCACTATTACTCAGAGGGGAAAGGCATCTGCTGCTGAGCTTGATGATCTGAGTTTGAACCTGGGGTCCACATGGTAGAAGGAGAGAACCAGTTTCTGCACATTGTTCTCTGAGCTCCACACAGGTGCTGTGGCAAGCTTGTATGCACACATACATACACAAATAAGTAAATAAATAAAGAAATATAATAAAATGAAAATTATGATTTCTTTGTTCAATAGATGAAATGCATTACTATTATTTTTCATATAGTTCCCTTTACTGTCAATAACTATGATTTAACTACAGGAACTAGATTTAGTTACCACAGCTCAATTCAAAAAGATAAAAACATTCCTCTCTCTATTTAGTGTAAATTAATCTTTTTGATTGTATTACATATTTATTTCAAGAAAGACAGACATCAGGATATAGTGGTTCATGCCTATAGTTTGGGCTACTCCTGAGTCTAAAGCAGCAGGATTGCTTGAGGCCAGGAGTTGGAAGTTGACCTACACAGAGAGTTCACATGTAAAATAAAAATTAAACTAATCTCAGGATTTAATTTTAAACAACAACACATTTTTGTCATTAATGCAAATAAAAAGTGATTCTACCCAAACAATGGTAATTCTCATGAGTAAAGTTTAGGGCAAGTTTTGATGTTTTTTCTTTTAAAGATTTATTTTTATTTACATGTATGTGTGAGTGTATATCATGTGTATACATGTGCTAGTGGAGGTCAGAAGAGGGTGTCTGGTCTCTTGGAACTGGAGTTATAGATGGTCTGAGTTGCCATGTAAGTGCTGGGAACCAAACCTGGGTCCTTTGCAAGAGCAGTGAGTGTTTTTAACCACTGAGCCATCATTCCAGTTCCTTGATAGTTTTTTTTTATGTCTTTTAGGACAGGGTCTCCCTGTAGCCCCAGCTGTCCTGGAATTCACCATGTAGACCAGGCTGGCCTCGAACTCACAGAGATCCGTTTGCCTCTGCCTCCCGAGTCCTGGGATTAAAGGTGTGCACCACCACGCCCGGCTCCAGTTCCTTCATAGTTTTAATGAAGCATAAGATTCATGAATTTGATAGATTTTTAACAATTGCACATTGTGATATGGAATATCTCTATCACACTGCTGAGGTAAATTTTAATTATATTTTTAATTATAGATGTGAATTTCTTCAAAGTAAGAAGCCCACAGAGAAAATTGCTGAGTATATTCAGAGCTATGAGGGATTTGTTCATGTAACGGTGATTTGTAGCAGCAAACTTTTTCTCCCAAGTCGTCTTTTGATTACCTAGTAATATTTGAATCACAAGAGCTCTCCCAAGTGTTCTCTTTATTTCGTGGGTTGTGTCTCTTTTTTCTTTCTTTTTTTGGTCTTTTGGAGACAGGGTCTCCCTGTAGCCCCAGCAGTTCTGGAACTCACTATGTAGACCAGGCTGGTCTTGAACTCACAGGGCGCTGGAATTAAAGGCAAGTGCCACCATGCCTGGCTCCAGGACTGGCTTTGCACTGGCTCTGCCCCCTTCATCCTCCCTCTTCTCTGAGGCCACTGCCCTGGCTTCCCTTTGCTGCCTCCATCTGCATGCCTGGTTTAGTCTTCTGACCTGGCTCGGGAGAGGGCCTCAGAGCTGGCTCCTTCCAGCTGCTGATTTAGCCTCTTAAACTACTAAGGACTCCCTAGTGGGGAGTGGTGGGAGACCCGCCCCAAATTGACTTAAGCAAAACAGAATGTGTTGGTCAACTGACTCAGAAGACCAGAACCCCACAGAGAACATGGACTGAAAGTCAGGGAGGAGGGCGATGGCTCCTCAGGAAAAATCTAGGGTTAGTTGCTCAATTGGAAAGGCCTTTCTAAAGTTAACTTCTTTCCCGTGTCTTAATTCCTCTTTAGTCAAATCTCTCTGTGGTGTCTGACTACAGTTCTGTTTTTGAGCTGGGTGTCTGGTAAGAGTGACCCTGAGAAGGTTCCAGGTGGCTACAGGGAAACATCCTTTCTGTTGTTTCACACTGCACAAAACATTTCCAAAATTTATGGGAATCAAATCAAAATTAAAAGAATGCTTTGCCAACAACTGTCTCTCTAATGAAATTTCATTTTAAGGGGGGAGGGAGTTCTTCCGTTTTGTCTCATAGATAGGTGCATAATTTGTTAGTCAAACAATCAATAACATGAATTTTTTTTCCCTTTAGGCAGAAAATTTTGTGGATTCCTGGGTAAAAAGAGAATTACCTATGACAGCAGGTAAGACTTCAGGCGCGTTCCAAAGGCTTTGCCCCTCGTTCTGTTTTCGGCCCTTTCATTTTCTCTTCATCTGTACCACTATGACTCTCTTTTTGTTATTTTTGTTTATTTGATTATTTATGTATTATTTATTTATTTCATGTGTATGAGTGTTTTGATTGCATGTGTATAGGTGTACCCATGTGTGCAGTGCCCATGGAGGCCATAAGAGGGCACTGGATTCCTTGAAACTTTTGTTACAGAAGGTTGATGGCCATGTGGGTGCTGGGAACTGAACCTAGGTCCTCTGGAAGGGCAGCCAGTGCTCTTAACTGCTGAGCCAGCTCTCCAGTTCCCACAGTTCTTTAAAAAAAATCATTTTCATGTGATTTCTGTTCTTATGCTTGTTTTTCTAATCTTTTTACATTTATTTATTTGTTGTTTATGTTAGGAGGGGCATACACATGTGCTGATATGTGCTTTCAGGAATTGGTTTTCTTTCCATAAAATTTGGGCTTCAGGGATCAAATTCAGGTTCTCTGGCTTTTGCAAGAGCCTTTACCAGCCTGGAGTGACTTAGTTTTCAGTGTATATAAGCATGGGTAAATATGATAAGGTCAGTGCCTTAACTGACACTTCCCTTAAAACAGCTAAAATTTTCTGGATGAAATGTTTTGAAAGCATTCTTCAGGACCGCTTATATCTTAGGTTGGTTTCTAGCTCAAGGATTACCAGGCATGGACCATCACACCTAGTTTTTGAGGTGCTGGGCATGGGATCTAGAACCTTGTAAATGCTAGGCAAGCACTCTGCCAACTAATCCCCAGTTTCTTAAATGGCTCAGTGTATCTTAAGAAATAAAGGAATACTGACACTAAGGGAAGTGACTGGTCTGGAGATATAGGTCAGTTGTGGAGCACTTGCTTAGCATGGCCAAGGGCCTTCAGTTCCATCCCCAGCACATCAAGTAAAAAAAAAAAATCTGAGGTTTGAAATTTATCTTGGTGGCAGGGTGCTTATCTAGCAAGTATGCCGGGCCCTGCGTTCTGTCCCTAGTAGGGGTTGGAGTGCATGGGGAAAGGGAACACAGGACAGGATGACCACAATGATGACACAGCAACAATTCTCTGGTTAACTGATTATGGTGGCTCATACCTGTAATCCCAGCACTTGGGAGGTAGAGTTCAAGGCCAGCTTGGACTATGATACTGAGTTAGAGGCCAGTCTGGGCTACATAAGACCCTGTCTCAAGAACAAAAATGAAGAGCGAGAGAGAGAGAGAAAAAAAGAATTCTAGGATTAGTGCCAGGTATGGTAGCCCATATCTGAATCACAGCACTTAGAAAGCCAAGGCAGAAAGATCCCAAGTTTAAGGTCAGCCCAGACTTTATAATAAAATACTGTCTCAAAAAACTCCAAACAATCTCACAACCCTAATAACAAACCAAACCAAACCAAAATAAAACATCTTCTAGTAACTTGCTAAAATGATAACAAAGGGAAAAAGGAAAGGCTTCCAGTATTTATTCTCTAGGCCTTTAGAAAACACAGAGTTCTTCTGTGAGCCAGAATTGTAGTCCCCTTCAGTGAGCTGGAGCTGGGGTCACCTTCTGTGAGTTGAAGCTGTGAGCTCTTCCAGTAAGCCTGGAGCTGTGATCCTCTACCATGAACCTTGGGCTGTTGTCCCTTCCCATGAAATTGAGGCTATGGTCCTCTCCTGTGAGCTGGAGCTGTAGTCCCCCACTTTAAGCTGGAGCTGTGGAACCCTCCTGTAAACCCAAAGCTGAGGTTCCCTCTGGTGAACCTAGGGTGGTAGATCCCTTCCTGTGAGCTGGAACTGTGATCACTTCCTGTGAGCCTGAGTTGTGGTCCCCTCCTGTGAGCTGGAGCTGTGGTTCCCTCCCGTCGTAAGCTGGAACTGTGGTCCCCTCCTGTGAACCTGGAGCCGAGGTTCCCTCTTGTGAGCTAGAGTTGTGGCCCTATCTCTTGAATCTGGAGCTATTGTCCCCTCCCATGAACCTGGAGCTGCGGACCTCTCCTATAAGCTAGAACTGTGGTTCCCTCCTATGAACCTGGATCTGTAGCCCCCTACTGTAAGCTGGAGCTCTGGTTCCCTCCCATGAACCAGAACTGTAGTCCCCTCCTGTGAACCTGGATCTGTGGCCCCCTCCCATGAACCTGGAGCTGTGGTCCTCTCCTGTGAGCTGGAGTTGTGGTCTTTTCCCGTATACTTGGAGCTGTGTTCCCCTCTCATGAGCTGGAGCTGTGTCCCATACTGGGAGCTTGGAGCTGTGTTCCCTACTTGTCTGACAGAACTGTGGTCCCCTCCTAGGAGTTGGAGCTGTGGCTCTGTCTCGTGAGCTGGAGCTGTGATTCCCTCATATGAGCCTGAAGTCTTAGTTTACTACCATGAGCTATGGTTCCACATTCTTCTGGTGGTAGGCTGATGGTGGAGCAGACTGGAGGATGCAGGACTTTTTGATAGTGGGCAGTAGTTTCAGTCTTCTCTGAGTGACTACATTCCCCATAGCCTCTTCCCCTGAGGTCCCAGGTTGTGCATGGCAGAGGCTTTGCCTCTTATGGCTGGGAATGGAAAGATCTCTGTCATTTGCAGATTCTGGTCTTGGGAGGACTGATTCTCTAGAACAGACTTGCCACCTCCCCTGAGGCCCCAGTTGTGGTCCCCACTCTATACGTGATCCTGGGTACCCAGGCCTTGATGTTGAACCTCTCCCATTACCAGACACCAAGAGGTTTTCCATTATTTTTTTGTTACTCTTCTAGAGCTTCAGTATGTCTTCATCTATGTCCTAATTGAACTTGTAGAGATAAAAATCAGAGTCTAGGAAGTTAAAAAGAAGAAAGCACTGTAATAACTAAACTGATAGAACTCTCAAACTACTAATATATATCTTAGAATGTAAATTCACCATTCTATATGTCTACTACGATCTTTGAATATTATTTACTGACAAAATCGCATGACCAAGTTTCAACAATAATGTAAAATTTGTCTCTGTTCCTGTACTGAGAGTTTGCCATTTACTCCCTTTCCAAATTCTCCTTCTACAAAGTTTTTTTTAATGTATTTGTTACTTCTTAAAGAAAGCAATGATAATAAAATATTATAAATAAAAAATAAAACACAGAGTTGTTCCTTTGACCACATTGTAAGAATCTACAAGAAAGGGTGACATTGTAGACGTGAAGGGTGTGAGTACTGTTCAAGAAAAATGCCCATGAATGTTAAGATGGCAGAACTAGAAGCGTCTACAGTGTTACCTGGCATACTCTTGGCATTGTTAACAAGCAAGTTAAGGGCAAGAGCCCTCCTCCTTCAGGAAGGTCTCATCTTTTATTTTATGTATATGAGTGTTTTTATATGCATAAGTGTACCATGTGTGTGCAGTGCTCACAGAGGCCAGAAGTGCATTGGATCCCTTGGAATTGGAGTTAGGACAGTTATTAGCTGTCATGTGTGTTAGAATTTAGAGAGCAGGAAGGAAAGTGGAGTTGGGAAAAGAGACCAATGTCAGACCTTCAACAGGACAAGGCTGCGTTTATTCAAGCGCAGTAAGTGACAGCAGTCTTTCCACAGGATGGAAGCAACTGTATTGTGAATGGGGAGAGTTAGAGTTCACACAGGGTCTAGGGCATGAGGAAGCAGCTGCAGGGGTCTACATGTCTCATTTTCTGGGCCACTTGCTCTAGCAGGACAGGCTATCTTGAGCAACAGGCTGTCTCAAACAGTTCTCTCTGAGTTCCTGAAGTGGCTGATCTGGGTGTGATTGATTGATAAGGTTAATAACCGCGCCAGAGGCCAGTAAGGTCAGCAGAATTTTCAGAGGAGTTCTGTTTATTTTGCAGTTGGGGCGTTTTATCAATGTGCGTGCTGGGAACCAAACCTGGGCCCCCTGGAAGAATAGAAAGTGCTCTTTTAAAATGTTTTTAATTTTTATTTTATGAGTGTATTGCCTACATGTATGTGAGTGCACCCATGTCATGCAATGCCGCAGAGGTCAGAAGAGGGCTTCGGATTCCCCTGGAACTGGAGTTAAGGATGGTTCTTAGCTGCCAAGTGGGTGCTGGGAATCGAACCCGGGTCCTCTGCAAGAGCACTCACTGTTCTTAACTGCTGAGCCATCTCTCCAGCCCCTAGAAAGTGCTCTCAACGTCTTAGCCAACTCTCTGGCCCAAGGGCAAGATTCTTGGACAAGAGAATTAAAGTGTGTATTAAGCATATTAGTAACTGTAACAGGGAGGGCTGGAGAGATGGCTCAGTGGTTAAGAGCATTTTGCTACTCTTGCAGAAGACCCAGGTTCTAGTCCTAGTACATATATGGTGGCTCAGAATTATTTGTACCATGGAATCTGATGCCCTCTACTGGCCTCTGTGGGCACGAGGCATGTACATGGTACACATATACATATGCAGGCAGATACTCATAAACATAAAACAAATCTTAAAAAAAAGATCTTGGCTGAGCCCATGCGTGGCAGCTTAACCGGAGTTAAACTGAGCAGCCAGCAGCCCTGAGGGCTGGCTCCATAACACAGAGCGTGCTGCAGCCTGGACCTCTGCTGTCTTTCCAGTCTTGACTGCAAAGCCACCTTTTAACTGGTACTGCCTTGCAAGGACTGGTCTGTCAGCAGGCTGTAGGGACATGTTACCACTATAGTCTTGGTGGTTATTTCTAATTCTATGACATATAATTGGTTGATCTTGCTTCAGACCCTCCTCTGGTAGACATGGTGAAATGTGAAAAGCCAATAAGCTGGTGGCTCACGATGCACACAGGGAAAAGCAGAAGTTTATTTTATCTGCCTTTACAACATTTCTTTCCCTCTGTAAAATGTTTGGTTGAATGTCCTTGGAAAATGTTACCCTGATTCACAATGGTAGTATAGGGCCAACATACAAGCTACCACTCCAATGTGTATAGTAGACTTTGGGAAAAGTGACCTTTTTTTCATGTATTCATTCTGAATAGTTGACATGTAGATTTATACAGTCTTTTAGACCTACTCAAGTGATGCTTACAGTGCTGTTACTGTGTGCCCATCATAGATTTGTTCTTTTTTTTTTTTTTTTAGTGTTGCTCTTGCTGTGCAATAAATGCTATATTTAGTTTACCTAGCAGAAGCTTGACCTTGCACTAGTACAGACCTTTGGACAGACTTAGTTTTTGTACATAACCTTGTACAATCTTGCAGCAGAGGCCAGCAATGTAAGATACATATCTGGACTCTCTTGCATTATAGAATTTTTTCTTGTTCTGAGTATCTTTGACATTACAACTGTCAAAAACAAACTGGTTTTTCAGATCTTTTTCTGAGACCTTTTAAAGCTAAGATTACATGCAAGAATTGACTTTACAGCTACTAATTTTGACACCTTTTAGATCTGTAAGAGTGTGTTGTATTGAAACAACAAGCGCAGTTAGTGCTGCATTTGGGATATTTAGTTTTCTCTTGAGTTGAACATCATGTGATGTATTCATTTATACCATCTAATATATGACACACACTGTTGTAATATGTATAATTTTGTGGTCTTTATTTCCCTTTGTATTCAGTTTAAACATCTAAATAAATTGCTGTATTGTGCTTAATGCAAAAAAAAAAAAAAGATCTTGGGCTAGAAAGATGACAGTGGTTAAAAGCACTGGCTACTCTTGCAGAGGACCTAAGTTCGATTTCTGGCACCCTCATGGCAACTAACAACCATCTCTAACTCCAGTTCCAGGGGAATCCAGTGACCTCTTCTGACCTCCACAGGCATTGCAGGACACAGGTGAACTTACATACATGCAAACAATACACTCATATACATAAAGTAAAAAAATGATAAATAAAACAATTTTTTTTGTCTTTTTTCTTTTACGGTTCCAGTCAAATTTTATTTAAGATACTTTTATATTTTATCAATGAAGAACAAACGACTTTAAGGAAAACCATGAGTCAATAACATCATCATCTTAATGACCCAGAATAATCTTTTTTCAGAATGTAGACCAGGCTGTCCTTAAACTCACAAAGACCTGCTTGCCTCTGCCTCCCAAGTGCTGGGATTAAGGGTGTGTGCCACCATGCCCAGTTTAAATAAAATATTTTTAAAAAGAATTTATAAACTGGGTGTGGTGGTGCATGCCTTTAATCCCAGCATTTTGGAGGCAAAGGCAGGTGGCTCTCTGTGAGTTCAAGGCCAACCTGGTCTACATAGTGAGTTCTTGGTCAGCTGGGACCACAGGAAGACCCTGTATCAAAGAAACAAGAAACCAACCAAACAAAAGAACTTATAAGGGGGCCAATGAGTTAGATCATTTCACCTACCACTATGGAGGGATAGCTTGAACTCTGCGATGAAAGCCCTCTGGTCTCACCTTCCCCTTTTATTTAAGCTTACGGCAAGGACAGTGTCTTTGCTAATGAAGAACTAAGGCTGGACACATTCAAGAACTGGCCCCACGATTCACCTGCAGGTGTGGCAGCTTTGGTCAGAGCAGGCCTTTTCTACACAGGTGAGTCAGTACGCTGTGCCTATCAGATGCTCTAATTTGGTCTCACATTGATCTCCACTCAGCAATCTCCACTCTTTCATCATTCCTTACAGAGCCCTTTGCTGCACTGCAAGTCCTCTCAGCTTTCCATAGCTCCCTCAGTGCTCAGCCTCCAATCTTGAAACCTGAGGTCTAGACTGACAGTGAGCACAGGTAGTCTGTGTGGGATAATTACATGTTCTTTCATTCTATACTGCTTTTTTCCCATCATTCTAGCTCCCTCCACTCCAGAAGGCTCCTGGAAACTTTTACAAGACATTTCTGGTTATCTGTCTATCTATCTATCTATCTATCTATCTATCTATCTATCTATCTATCTATCTATCTATCTAATCTATCTATCATCTCCTTCCTTCCTTCCTTCCTTCCTTCCTTCCTTCCTTCCTTCCTTCCTTCCTTTCTTTTTGTTTCTGGTGTTTTTGAGACAGGGTCAAAATATTGGAACTCAATATGTAGACCAGGCTGACCTCACTCTCATAGAGATCCACCTGTATCTATCTCCTGAGTTCTGGGACTAAAGGCTAAAGGCGTGTTCCACCATGGATGGCCTTCTTTTTCTTTTTATGTGTGATGTGAGTGTGGCGTATTTCTGTGTGGGTGTATGCTCACTTCTGTGTGGGTAGGCAGAGGCCAGCAGCAGGCATCGGGTATCCTGCTCTGTCACTCGCTGCCCAATTCCCTTGAGACAGAATGTCTCACTGAACGTGGAACTAGGCTGGCAGACAGAAAGCCCTTCCTCTGTATTCCTCCCACAGCGCTGGGGATACAAGTTTGTGCTCAACTACATCAGTTGTTTATATGGATGCTAAGATTTGAACTCAGGTCCTTGCATTTGCACAACAAGCTCTCTTACCTAGTGAGCTATCACTCTAACTCCCTTATATTTCTTTAGCCAAAACTCAGATGGCCATATCTACTTTTAGGAATTGCTGAAAAATCCAGTATTTTTCTTGGGCAGCAGTGTGCCCTGCCAGAATTGGGGTTTCTAGGAGTTGGTTAGTCACTGAAGTGCTTGGCGAGCAAGCATGGGAACCTGAATTCAGATCCCCAGCATCCATGTACAAAAGCCATATGTGGTGGCATGTGTCTGTAATCCTAGTGCTGAGGAGCAGAGACAGGCAGGTCCCTGGTGCTCAGTGGTCAGCTATTCTTGCCCAATCAGTGAGCTCCAAGTTGAGTGAGAGACTCTTTCTCAAAAAAATTTGGAGAACACTCGAGGAAGAAACCTGACATTGACCTGGGGCCTCCACGCATGTGTGGTGCATGCACATGTCAACACACAGACACAGTCACAGATACACACACACACACACACACACACACACACACACACACACACAAATTCAGGTTTCTATTACTATGAAAAAATGTGAGAGTAGGGATGTGGATTGTAGTCTTTACTACACTCTGCTCAGAGAAGAAAAATCTGGGAACTGGTTTCCTTATATTCAATGCATGGAGAATCTTCTACCGGTTCCTGGGGTTCTCTCTTTAGCCGCTAGTCACTAGAAGCTCTACTGTTATCCACAAAGCTGGTTCCCTTCAGCTAAGTCTCTGTCTGAGGTACTAAAAGGGCAAGAGGGAAAGGATACTGTGTGCTCCCTCACTGTCCTGCTGGTCTTCCTCAGACCAAATGCACCCGAGTGATTGTGGAGTTTCGTGCAGACATTTCACTGAGGGATCACGTAGGTATCACAAATACAACAGAAAAGATTAGAATGGGAATTCTGCAGTTTATCTAACAGACAATTTGCTCTGTCAATGACAACCTTCTTACCTCACAGTCTTAACCCTTTCTCTCTGCCCTCACTATTGTGTCTTCCTCCTGCCAGCCTTCCTCAACACTCCTGGGCAACCTACTTCTATTTCTAGTGGAATATTTCTACACATAATGTGGGAAGAGCTGGTTCTTCATGATCTTGCTTGTGCAAAGGCTCCTAAATTTGTGTTTTTCTCCCCTAATCTCAAAATATATTCTTTCTGATTTATTCATCAAACAAATGCTTATTGTTGCCTAGATTTCTGAGTCATCAGTGTCCTGAACAGACAGAAATCTCTTCTCCCTCATGGAGATTCTGTTCCAGGTTCTGATTAAAAGTGTCTTAGGAAGATAGGTCAGGCAGAGGGTGTTCATCAGAGTACACAGTGCATAGGAACATTCAGAGGCTGTTTGATGATCATCCCATTAAAGACCCAAGATTCCTATATGGAGCATCGGTACCTGGTCACCCATGTATGGCTTTGCTACACAATCCAATTGGAGATGCAAGTAGGGTTTCACTAATCATTTTGGAAGTTATTATCTGCTTCCACAAATGTTTGTGCTCTTGATACTGATCATATTTCCTTACTTCTAGGCAAAAGGGACATTGTCCAGTGTTTTTCCTGTGGAGGTCATATGGAGAAGTGGGAGGAAGGTGACGATCCATTAGAAGATCACACCAAATACTTTCCCAAGTGAGCAAAATGAATGCCTTGACTTTGAATGCACTTGGACAGCGGTTCCCTCACCCCCTACTTTTTCTGTACTCTTTGCCATTGCTCTGATTTACACTATGGAGGACATGTGTTTGTGTCACGCATTGCTTCATGACACTGTCCCTGTCTCTCCTTTCTCTCATCAGTTAGATCTTGGGTTTAGTTAAATCAGTATTCACACTTTTAAAGACAGGGTCTCTCTATGCAGCCCAGGCTGGACTTGAACTCATGGTCCTCCTGCCTTAGCTTCCTGAATGCTGGTGCTACAGGGTGCACTACCATGCCTAGTAATTCCATGTCTTTCTGATTCCTTTGATTACAAATTACTTCTTTTTGCTCTTATTCTGGAAGCTTTTAATATTTTCTGTTTCCTGTGGTTTTGTTTCTGTGTTTTTTCTTTTCAAGTGGTGGGGACTGAACACAGGGACTTTGGCATGCCAGACAAGGCCTTTACCATCGATCTATAGTCTTATCCTTTTCTGTGAATTTTCAAATTTATTTTATTTATTTTTTACACATAAAACTCTTTAGAAGTGGCCAACAGCAAGAATACATTTGCTTTCCCTAAATAATTAGTAATAATTTTTCAGACCTAAATACTAATATGTGAGATTTTAAAGTGAATGTGTCTGGGGGCTGGAGGGATGGCTCAGTGGTTAAGAGCACTGACTCCTCTTGCAAAGGACCCGGGTTTGTTTCCCAGCACCCACATGGTGGTTAACAACCATCTGCAGCTCCAGTTCCAGGGATCTGATGTCTTCTTCTGACCACCATTGCAGTGCACGACATGGGTGCACTTACACATGCAGACAATACACTCATACACATAAAATAAAAATAATAAATAAAATATTTTTTAAAAAAGTGAATGTGTCTGGCTGGGCACAGTGGTGCACACCTGTAAATCCTGGTACTTGGAAGACTGTAGCAAGAGCATTGTGTGTGTAGGTTTTTAAAATATGAACTTCTGGGGCTGGAGAGATAGTGGTTAAGAATACTGACTGTTCTTGCAGAAGACCTGGGTTCGAATCCCAGCACCCACATGGCAGCTAACAACTGTCCATAACTCCAGTTCCAGCAGATCTGACAGCTTCTTCTGTCCTCTGCGGGCATTGAATGACATGGGTGCACTTACCTACAAGCAGGCAATACCTGTATACACATAAGATAAAAATAATAACATTAAAAAAACATGAACTTCTTTAATATGATTGATTTTAAAACAAATGTAAGAATCTAGCAGTTGTAAGTTAAGAAAGAAAAGAACAATTGAAGACATCTTTTGGTATGGTATTCCTTTGAAGGCATGAAAAGCTGTGCCTATATTGAAGTCTCTGGTGTCTTTTTTAGTTCTACAAGTGTGTTCTGTCTGCGTCTAATGTATACTTAACCTTGCACTAAATTATTTTGATATTAGAAGAATTTAAGTCTAATCTGTGTAACTTAAAAAGTTAAGGTTTTAAAGAATTATGTTTTTGAGATAGAATGGTGATAATAGGGCAAATACATAAAAATATTCTTTAAATATTTTTATGTGTATACATGTTTTGCTTGCATGTAAGTAAGTGCACTTGTGCATGCAGTGCTTGTGGAGGCAAGAAGACAGTGTCAGAGCCCCTAGAACTGGAGTTAGCAACAGTTGTTAGCTGCCATGTAGATGCTGGGAACCAAACCTTGGTCCTCTGCAAGAGCAGCTAGTGCTCTTAACTGCTGAGCCATCTCTCTAGCCCTGAAAAATATTCTTTAAAAATGTTTTATTAGCATATATTAATTATAGATAATGGGGTTCGTTGTGACATTTTCCTACAAGTACACAGTGTATTTTGACCATATTCACTAATACCAGCCTCCTGGGGCCTTCTCTCCTCTTTATTTTTTAAATTAAATTTTTATTTTTTGGGCATTTCATACTGTATTTACATCATTCCCACCCCTCCTTCTCCCCTTTCCAATTCATTCACATTCCCCTCACTCCCTCTCAATATCCTGACCTCTTCTTTAATTATTATTGTTATATATAATATTGTTATATATAATATATATATCCTACTGAGTCCATTTAATGGTGCTAGTATGGACATGTGTTTAGGGCTGACCACTTTGAATTGCTGTTACCCTCTCTTATCCCCATCTCACTCCTGTTAATCTCCTTCCTCTTAGAATGCTGTGTTTGAGACCAGCCAGGGCTACATAGTGAGATCTGGCCTCAGCCTTAGTAAATAAATAAATAAGAATATTTGCATCTAATTTTGTGGTTTGAAGATGTTTGAGAATAGTGTGCAGGGACATGGCGTCCTGACCTCCGCCTCCCCCTTGTAAGAGCTTGGGTATCTGTGGTATTTCCTGGAACTGTTTATCACAAGGACTTTCTCCTGATTCTGAGAGAAAGTACACCTGACCCAAAAACTAGCCTTACAGTCAGGTGATCCCAATTATCATGTG